GTTCTCCATTCTGACATCCCCATGGTGATAGAACTACCTAAAAAGCACTGCCCATGAGAGATTTTCATCCTTTGGCAATGATGCTCATTCATGATTGTGCGGGCAGCATTCCTTACTTTACTTAGGAAAAGATTTCTTACTGTATTGTTGCCTGCCTAAATATAAGCTAAATATGAACAGAAAATGGAGAATTGAGTTAATTATCTAATAACTGTGGTTAGTATTTAGATTATTTGAAACAAAAGCGAGTAGGCTTTCTTTATTTTTTCTAGAGTATTTCTTCAAAGCCATGTAACTTGTCATATGTAGTTATACTTGAGTTTAAAGCTGTTGAAGCTTTTTTCTCCCTATTTCTTCCTTATTCAAGGCTGTTTATTATCTTTCCCATTTCGATTTTATTATGGAAATTGGTATAAACATGTGAACATTTCCGAAACACACCATTTAACAGAACTGAATCAAAAAGAAAAATATTTTACCTGGAAGTTTTAGACATTTGACAGATGATGTTTACGTTTATTTACTTTCTAAGAGAATTACCTGCAATCTAACTTGAGATCTAATTTTGAGGGTTTTGCTTTGGGTACTGGTGCTTAGACTCACAGGATGAATTCAATGCCATTTAATCTTTATCTCTGGAGTTCACCTTGGTTCTAAACTGAGGAGAACCTTTGATCATAAGTACAGTCTACTTCCATAGAAATCCTGAACAATTCCTGGATCCCCACATCTGTGACACCAGGGACTTTTTCCTTCTCCTTAGATATAAGGTGAAATTGCATAAAGGGACTTGGGAAAGCTGCTAAGGTGGGATATTGAATCCTTGTTTCTTTTGTACAGGCATCATGTGCTGGGTTCAGTACCTGACATAGGAAAATAAAGCTTAGCTGAATGAATAGGTAAAGGCTAAAACCATCCAGAGAAATAATCATTAATTTGTTTAATTTGTTAGATTTTGCCTGTTGGCATTTTCTTTCTCAGTTGAATGGTTGTGTCACTAAATGATGGCTGGTGTTGTCACTGGGAGCTAGTAATTCTGTGGTGATACTAGAAATAGCTCTAGCTAACTGTTGCTGGGCGCTCCAGTGTACCTGGCCTGGTGCTATATGCTTTACATGTAATCACTCATTGCATCCAAACAACCACCTTATGAAATTGAGGTAATTTCTATTATTCTCATTTATAGATGAGGAGTTCGCGTCACAGAAAGGCAATTATATTTTGAGTGCTTATTAAATTCGGTTGATCAGGAAGGTGGAAAAGAAAGGAAATGGAACTAACATGATGGTGAGTACCTAGTACTCACTATTTAATTAAAACCAAAAGAACACTGAAAGGAAGAAATTTTAACCCTCTTTTAGGCAGGAAGACTAAAGTTCTGAGAAATCAAATTATTTCTTGAATATACTTATCTAGAACATGAAAGTAACACGAAATAAATCCAAGATTCCTCAGAATCTGCCTCTTCACCATAAGTAAGGAATCCAAACAGCAGCCTTCCAGTGCACCGTGTGCAGTTTCACTTGATTTCTATGGAAGTAGACTGTGCTTATGATCATAAATTTCCCCTCCATTTGGAACCAAGTTGGCTATAGAGATAAAGCTTAAACGGAATTTGTATTAGTTTCCTAGGGTTGCTATAACAATGTACTACAAAATGGGTGGCTTAAACAGCAGAAATTTATTGTTTCACAATTCTGGAGGCTAGAAGTCCAAAATCAAGGCATCAGTAAGATTAGTTCCTTCTGAGGGCTGGGAAGGAAAGATCTCTTCAAGACCTCTCTCCGTGGCTTGCAGATGGCCATCTTCTCCCTGTCTCTTCATATTGTCTTGCCTTTATGCAAGTCTATTTCTGTGTCCAAATTTACCCTTCTTATAAGGACATCAGTTACATTGGATTAGAGCCCACCCTAATAACCTTGTTTTAACTTGATTACCTCTCTAAAGACCCTATTTCTAAAAAAGGCCACATTCTGAGATACTGGGAGTTATGGTACCAACACATCCTTTTTTTTGAAGAAGAGACACAACTCAACTCATAACAGAATTTAATTTCAGACTTTACAGAAAATGAGATATAGTAGTCCTGTGGTGGGGCTTAGGACTCTGGATGCTTATGAAGCATCTCACTTGACATTTAATCCTGATATTCAGGCTTGATTGAGAACTAACCACTGGCTAAGGAACAAAAACAAGAGAAATAAACACAGAGAGTGCCCGATTCTAGACACTATAACAAGTAATATTGAACTTCTCTCCTAACTGAGAGGTATGCTGCATCTCCCCACTCATGAGACCCCAGGAAGAAAAAGTACTCTTGCTTGGGTTTCCTCCTCCCAAGTTTCTAGTCCCATTGACACAGTGATCGACTGTGGCCTTTTCACCCTCTAGAGAAGTGCGGAGGGTGGGCTTCTACTGTAGTTGGAGGGGCTCTGCTGCTTCAGCAGGAAGATGGAATTGGATTCTCTCCCGTAGGTTCTTCAGATCCGGCACTGTAACAACTGGGTTCCACACTGCTTGTGTTTATCTTTTGAACAGTGATAAGCTGCACTCCCTCTTTTCTTAGAACATCTGCCTTCACATTTTGCTTAGTTGGCATGTAAGATAAATGTAATTTTGATATTCACTTGATCTACTGATGTGGGACACAAGGCAGAATCCAGGAGACACCTTTAGTACAAAGATATTCAGGTGCAGATTTATCTGGAAATATTTTCAATGGTCAAGGACATGTGTTCTCTGTAATAAGATTCTGAAAGCTTACAAGAGAAAAGATAAGAAAGATCTCTGAGGCCAAACTGGTGGTAAATATCGCATTGTTATCTCTGCTGATAACACACTTGCTGCTTATTATGGGACGTGCACTATAATGGTGATAGAGTGAGTGAGGGACTGAGAAAATTGGAAAATCCTAAAACGAGTGAAAAGTTATTATTTTGCAGACACATGCATGCCCACATGTACATGAGAGAGAGAGAGACCAGGAGAGTGAGAGAGACAAGAGGAACCCTTCAGAAGTATTTTTGACACATTCATGGCCTGCTCCTAGAATGCACAAAGGTATAATTAAGTCAACAAAGTCTCCTGAGAGTCTCGAGCCCAGGAAACTGTTTATTTTTACTCTAGGACCCAAGGAGCAGTACTTATTAAAGGTAGGTGATTTCCTAGTTGTGGGAACAGAGTCATAGATTCCAAAATCCCCCAAAGTCTGATTTCTCTCATTTACCCGCTATTCACTTTCTTGGGCCTGGTGTCCTGTCTGGAGATTCACCTCCCCCTGGTGATAGACAGAAAGAATAACCTTATCTTTTATGTGAGATCCATTCTTGACTCCAACTGATGAGGCTTGAACTTTGTTTGTCCCAAAAGAAAAACCATGTCAGATCACAACCCAATAATCTTGACATTCACATGAGAGATGCACACTAACACTCATAAGTATGTTGATACTTCATAATCTCAGTGTTCTTTTTGATTCATCCACAATGTTGTTCCTAGTATGGATTGTGCCCGTTAGCTTTTTGGCTTTATGAATCTTAGGCTATAAGGCCTGATAAATGCCTTAGGCAGGATAGAAATATGTTCAGATTTGGATGGGAAGGGCTCATAGAGCAGGTACTGAAGACCACAGGACTCAACTGACCAGGTGTTGTTATACATATCACTCTCATTCTCCCAGCTCCTGACCATCCACAGCCATCAGCAATTACTAGAAGATAGAGCCCAGTTAGCTCCTATTGTCCAAGATCCAGCCCCAACTCCTCTCTCTCCAGGCCTTTCCACTTTTAAAGCAGCTCATTTTCATGTATAACTTTTCAGCATTGCATAAAAGAGTTCAAGACGCAAGCTTCACTCTTTTAGTTGTTTGCTTTAATGCAATTACTTAAAACAAGTATTTCTTTTTTTACCATGCATATCAACACATATTTGTCCTCCTTGGGAAATGATTCCTATAACTGTGTGGGTATTTTTTTTGGCTTTCTAATAATAATTTAATTATCTTATGTTTTAAAATGTTTGAAAATACTATTTGATTCAAAAAGAGGTACATTGTCCCAATTTTTTTATCAATAGGGTAAAAATGTTTCGCTCTGTTTACCCAATTCTCCAGATTTCAATAGCTTTTCCTATCTAATCTAATTTACTCCAGACTCTCTCATAAGGCATAATGGTATGAGAAAGCCATGAGGTATAGAAAAAAGTATAGCAATGAGAAATAGTGACATATAGCGGTAATATGCTAAATTGTGGTTCATGGAGGCTTTATGATGGGTTTCTCTGTCTACAATATGTTTATCCATCTTGTCACCTTCCACATGTTCTGGGGAGGTTAGGGACTGTGATTTATTATGCATTAAAGAAACTAGCTCATTGTGGGTACAAAAAGAATGCACATGCATTTTCTTATATAAACTTTAACTAGCCAATAGAAAAGAATCTGGTTTTGAAGGGGATGATATTATTTACAAAGAAATCATTTATTAGATTTCCCTAAGGAGTATTTTTGATAACAAGCACCACTCCAGATCTGGGCACAGAGCCCTGAAGATGCATAAAAAGAAAGTCAGTTTTGGCATAAGTTATGATGAGCTGTAAATATTGAACAAAAGCAAAATTTCCAAGTAGTAACTGTTCAACAATATACAAAATGAAGGAAAAGCTTCACTAACTTCCCAGAGGGAAAACATAAGGAGTTAGGAAAAGAATTAGTATACTCTTTTGTATGTCTTTTGAATCGGAAACTTCTATTTAAGTGGAGTATGGATAATCCAGAATACTTACACAGTAAAGGCAAAAATGTTTTTTGATCCACAGATGTCCTTATATTTTGAGTCAAACAATGCTTTTATTATTATATAATGATAGCCAGTGCATCTTGTCACTCAAAAGATCAATACAAGTGTTAAAAAAGTCATAACAATTTCATATTTTAAAAAATGTGAAATCTAATAAAGTCTGAATTAATTACATACAAAAAATGAGAATAAATCAAAATTTACCTGTTTATATTGCAGTTGCAATCCATACTAAGAGCACATCTGAAAGGACAGCAGTAAGAACAGAAATAGAGATAGGACCTTAAGGTTGTAGATGTATGCCATGATATCCATCTCCACTTTCCTCTGTACGTTATTCCTAAACCAGGTTACAAGGAAATTGATTAATGAACTATTTCCATAGTTCACTAGTGGCGAGCCTGGCATTGCTTGCTTTTTAGTGCTGTCTTTAATGATACATAGCAGCCAGGCACCTCTACAAAATGTGAAGCTATAAGAAAGAAATTTTGAGCTAGACAAAGGGAAAAAGAACTGTATCCAGGAACTACAGTTCCACATAAGCCTGAAATTGTTTTTAAAATAGCTTAATTTTTTTAAAAAAACCACCTGAATCTAAACTCTGTGAAACACTTTTGGGAGAAGTAGAACATGTAAAAGCCCATTAAGACCGTGGAGGATCCAGGGACACCACCCACACACTCCACTGTCAGTGCCCCATCTTGCTGTCCCCTATGAGCTCCTCAGTAATAAAACCCCACCCTACATGAAGCTGTGTAATTTATCTCATAAAATGAGTTTTGATGTCTGAGAACACACCCACTAAAAGGGAATCAGAAATGTGTTGGATGCCAATGGTAGAAAACTTGCATTTAAAAACTGGCCTGTAAGCAAGCAAAGCAGAGATCAGATATTCGAGGAGATACTGACAAACCATCGGTGCTGATTGTTTTAATGCTTCTGGGGTTTATTTTAAATTAATTCCTACCAAAATGCACAAAGAACTTACTTCAGGTGGCACTTTTAGTTTATAAGCCACAGTAGATGCCAAGAAGAGTAAGAGATCAGAGAGGAAATGCTTGTGTTTCTTGAGGAAGGTAGTTTATGGGAGGGAGAAGGCACCTGCTCACTAGGCACATCATTAGTTAGGACTTCACTAGAATACTGTGTTCACTTTGAGGTCCCATAAATGAGATATAACTTGGAAAACTGTGTAGTCAATCCTTAAAAAGAAAAATCCCAGTGAATAAAAACTACCTTTACAGCTATCATCTACAAGAGAAGCCTGAAGAAGAATAAAGGATATAAATTATAAAGATGTTACCCTCTTCACTGAAATAAATACAAGAGGATAATTAAGTCAACGCAATTTAAAAAGTAACGTGAAGAAGAAAGGATATGCCTTAGGAAGAATATACTTACTTATCTAGTTGTGAAACTTGGGGCTTTTAGTAAGGAACCTTATTTTTTGGAGGCTATTTAAGAAACAGTTACTCAGCTGACTTTATGGATGGTTTTCACGTACTTATGATTTAAGGGAGAGGGGGGACAAGATGACCTCTTGAGCTATTTCCAACCCCATACTTAAACAAGTAAGGTTTAAATAGAGGTGAAATTTATAACAAAATACTGTAGGAAATATAAACACATGGAAATGTCCAGCTGGCCATCGTAATACTCATTAATATGTTAAATATAAAGCAAAATTATGCCTTAATGTTGCTGATTTATTTTAATAGAACCACTCATGGAAGATGTATTGCTGTAAAAGGTTAAAATGGCCTGCTTTGCATGCACAATTTAATATATAGCCCAGGGAAAATCCAACCACAATCTCTACTGATTTGGATGTTGACATTATCATTTGAGTGAGTATGCTGCAAATGCATATTTGAAATCAGCAGGGTTTGCCAAAAGAATTAGAGGATGACTGAACACGCTTTGGATTTCAAGTAATAACAATGTAAAGAATGAAAAAAATCTGGACTGTAAAGCTGCTTCTTCTTCTAAAGATTCACATACTCAGGCCAAATTTTATCATCATCATTCATTCATTTATTCATTGACAAGCATTTATTGATTCTTACTGTGTACCAAACAAAATGAGTAGCGCTGGAGATTCAGTGGTGAGCAAATCAGGCAAAATCCCTGTTTTAGACTTGTAGTCTAATTGGGAGCTTAAATATTTGTGAGAGAAGATAGCCAATAAATAAGTAAACCAATAACATTATCTTAGGGTCTCATGGATTCAATGAAGGAAAGAAATGAGGTGATTTGATAGAGAGCAATTGGGTAGGGTTGAAAGAGATAGAGTTGGGGGCTACTAGACAGTGTGGTCATGGATGGCTTGGATCAGAAATCAGGAAGTCTGGGTTTTCACTCAACTTCTGCCACCAACCAGCTGATCGGCTGGTTGAAAAAGGACATCTGCGGAATAAGCAGGTTGGTTAGACTAAATAATTCCAGAAACTTTTTAAGAGCCTATGGTAAATAGAATGGCCCTTAAAGATGCCCCCCAAATCTTTAGGCCTCCAAAATCCCCGGAACCTGTGAATATATTATGTTGTGTTACAAAGCAAAGGGGACTTTGCAGTTGTGATGAAAGTTAAGCACCTTGAGATGGGGAGATTATCCTAGATGACCTGGGTGGGCCCAATGTAATCATGCAAGTCCTTAAAAGTAAAGAATTATTTCTTCTGGTTACAGGAAGGAAGGCAGACGAGAAATGCAGCAGAGATATGCAACAAAAAGGGAAGTTGAAGAGATTCAAAGCATGAGGAACTCCACTCGCTGTTGCTGGAAGGGTTCCATAAAGAAAGCGTGAGATGGAATTGTGCAGCCTCTAGGAGCAAAGACCAGCTTCCAGCTGACAGCTAGCAAAGAAATGGGGGCCTCAGTGGTACAACCTCAAGGAACTGAATTTAACCCACAACCTGAATGAGTTTGGAAGCAGATTTATCCCCAACTCTTCCAGAAGGGAATGGAGCCCTGCTGACACCTTAAATGGAACCCAGCCTATGAGATTCCAGGCAGGGGACCCAGCTGAGATGCACTGTGAGATAATAAATGAGTGTTGTTTTCAAACAGATAAATTTATGGTAATTTGCTATGACATCAATGGAAAACTACTACATAGCCACTGAACCAAAACATGGGAGTGATCCCCTTCTCCTCCTTGTCTTCCATCCCTCACACTCACCCACCCACATCTCCAAACAATCAATAATTCCTATCAGTTTTACCTCCAAAACATGTATTGACCCATTTTCTCATCTCCACAAAATTCAACTTCATCTCTCACCTGGACTGTTCCAAAACTGGTCCCTCTACCTCTATTTATTTTGACTCTTGACCCTCAATCTGTCCTCCAAATTGTAGATAATAATTTACTTTTAAAAATGTAATCATGACATTTCTTTTCATGAAACCTTTCAATATTTCCACTAAACCAACAGATTCAACTTCAATCTCTGTGGAATACAAAAAACATTCATGGTATGGCTCCTATCTACCCTTTCCAGCCTCTTGCCCCACTCTGCCTTATTCTTTATGCTTTCATGATGGAGAAGTGTGATTTCCCTTCAGTACCACCCTTAGAGCCAGGCACGCAGCTTATCTGTTCTGAACTGTGCTCTTTAGAGGGCCTGGTTCCGGTGCTCCCTGGTCTTCCTCACAGGTGAGTTGTCCACGTGACTAAGGGGAAGAACTCACTCAGAATCCATGCTTCCTCCTTGTGGGCCATGCTACTGATGTCTGGTCTCTCAAATTCCGTGGACAAAAGGCCCCCCAAAGCACTTCCAGCACTTGCAAGGGTCTCTCCCCCAAGTTTATGCTTCAAAGCATAGACCATGTCTCTGGGCAGGTCTGAGGTGGGCTGGCCAAGGGGCAAATGTTAGCACTGTTGCCAAAGAGAAGGGGGTGGGCCAGGCAGCTAGAGCTGAGAAAAGAGGAGGGTGGGCCATAGGCTAGGGGCTGGCTCTCTCCTCACTATCACATTTCTAGCTTGGAATTCCAATAAGTTCCAGAATTCCAATTTATAACCTGGTCTTCCAGGATGTTATGAAGGTATGTTTGTCAAGGTAGGGGGATAAAACTTATTGTATGTAGCAGTTTGTTAGCTTGATTTATAACCCTAAATATTTAGACATAAGGTATGCAGCCTCCATTTGCAATCTTGCCCTGATCCCTGCAAGCATCAGGCGTGTTTTTTCTCCACATATCATGCCTTTATGTTGTTTCCTCCTGCATGCCAGGCTCTTCCCACTGCCTGGAAGAACCTGCCACCATTCTTCACCTGGCTAACTCTCATACATGGTTCAGCATTCACATCAGCAGTTGCTTCCTCCAGGAAGCCTTCAGTGACTTTCCAGTGCCCCTTCCCAGTCAACATGCCCACATGTGAAGATAATTTCTCCCCTACACTGTCAGATGAAGAAGAGAGCATACATTTTATTCATTTTGTTGTCTCACTACCATGGTGTCTGGCACATGGTATGGGTTTAATTAAAGTCTGTTGAACTGAAAACTGAAAGCAAATGGTTCATTCAGAATATATTCAACCAACATTTATTAAGGAATAAAATAGCACAAAGTGGAGCAGAAAATTAGCTTGTGTGTTTTGGCCGGGGGGGGGGGGGGGGGGGGGGGGGGGGTGGGGGGCAGATGTGGCAAATTCCTTGTTCCAGGTCACAGAATGGTAATAGTTGACATTTCTTGAACACTAAGTATTTGCCAGAAATTGACTAAGTATTTTACACGGGTTACATTTAACTCTCACAACTCTATGAGGTAGGAACTATAATTATCTTCATTTTATAAATGAGGAAACTGAGGCATAGAGAGGGTATGCGACTTGCCTATGGACCCAAAGCCAGTAAGTGATAGAGCCAGGAGGGGCTCCAAAGCCTCAGCTTTGACCATCAGGCCATGCTGCTTCCTGACACCTCCCACACATAAAAAGGAAGCTAGACCCATAGGGCCTTTTTGAAAAAGAGAAGATAGCAATTGTAACCCTCAAGGTCATGTGTAAATGTTAGCTGAAAGCTAACTGCATGCATTTCAGGAATAAATATAGGAACATCTGAAATGTGTAAATAACAATAAGATTGAAGGACAATTTGGATTAAAATAGGAAAAGTATAGTACTCTGTTGAGAGGGAGCTGGGGGTGTGTCCCAAAGGAACCTGGGAGGTCTTGTCTAGAGACCCTCACTGCAGTAGAGTTTCTGGAAGCTTCATAACACAGGATGTAAGAAGGGAATGTATGGGGGCTGAGCTGGTCTTCAAATCCAAAATGTAATACCAACATAAGTTTTACATTAAAATGTTTTAAGACATAAATTGTTCTTCACAACAGTTTTTC